TAAATGATCAGAATAATCAAAATCAGTAATCGTTAATTTATTATACATTTTTATCGCTGAAAAGTTTTTAGAAAAAAAGTTAACCCACAATAAAAATATTTTGAACTTTTCTCAGAATCTTTATTTATAAATTCTCTGGTTTATCATTACATTCTAAGTGTACAGTAATAATATACCAGTGTCCAATATCTTGCATCCTGGATAGCTATGCAGGACGAATATGTATAATACTTAAATATAACCCTATCTCTGTATCTCATTTAGCTTTTTGGCTATTTGATTAATATTCTAGAATTCCACATAAATTATTTGAAAATTGAAGTTATTGAGTACTCACATTCCTAATAGTATTTTGAATACTCAATCAAAATACGGGAAAAATGCTATCTTTTCAAATATATTAACATTTATAAACTCGTCACGTACAGAATGAACTTGAAAAAAAAACAAAAATATAAATTAAGTGTATCAAAATTAAGATAAAAACTTTATAAAATGAATAAAAAAATATTTGTATTTTAGTCTAACAAAATATTATATACTATCATTTTTACTGTATTTTGGGTTATGCTAGGTATATACAAACGAAACCAATTGTTATTACTCAACAGTAAATATATCATATATTTATGACGGAATTGAAGCATGAAATATAAGAAAAATATTATATTGTCAAATATAGTTTAGCACTTAAGTATACCAAAATTTCGTCTGATAAAAATTATTGATTTTTCTTCAAAAATAAAGTGGTATTAAACAAATTTAAAAATAAACGTATTTTGTATTTCATGATGCAAGTATCATTTTTTACTTGGAAAATAAGAATTTTACATTCTTACATAAAACTCTGTCAAATTAATATTTATAAACTACTCAAAAAAAAAAATTTGTATTACATTTGTTTTGTGTATTTACATAATATTCTAATATGTTATCATTTATAACGTAATATATTATTATATTCTCGTCAAACTTTCAATGATATTCAAAAATAAATAAAACATTTCATCACATCAATATATCTACATATTACATCAGTGACGTGAAATCAACAGGTGAAGCGCTATATCTTTGGAGGAAATCGGGGGAGGGAACATTCAGTCATCAAATATCCCATTAAGACCTACTAAAATAGCCAGCTTTTTAGTTGTGTAGAATTAAAACCTTCCCTCAAATTAAAGTTTCCTCCTCTAAAATTTGTTTGGATTTCCTCCTATGAAAGCATATACTATGCAAATAATTGTAAGTTAGAGGGTTTTACTACAGTAGGTATCAAAATAGGAGTGATGGGGGACCGTTTTATTTCGACTAGTTTTAATATATTAGTTATTTCTGGACGCGATTTCTTAGACTGACGCGATGATTAATAATAATAAAATACTTTCTCACGTATTAAAATCTTATTAATCCAGAAAATCTATCCGGCCCATGAGACTCTCTGACTAATGTGTTGGAAGTGACGCAAAATGAATATATAATGTACGGTTATCCATATTGATTAATGATATAACATTAGCAGTGCAAATGTAAAATATGCTCGAGTATTCTATATTATATACCTTTGTTGTATGGAAAATATTACGACCGAATTTTTCTATAAAAGTCAGGTTTCTACGCTATTCATGGTTCCATATTATACAAGTTTTACAGTATTTTATTAAAGATATTTTAAGTGGCCTGGTGAGGTGCGGTCGTACTCTCCTAACCTGTTGCTAGCTCCCGGATGGGTAACCGTTTTCAGCAACATATCCTTGCCACATGTACACTATCATGTCATACTCCTACCAACTTGAAAACCTACAAACAAATTGTACAAAAATTGCCCCTACCGTACCATCCCACACCCAATGGCCTACGTTGCCGCGAGTTCCCCTAAAAAATTAAAAAAAAATTAAATATAATTTTGTTTTGACTCTGTGCTTATTATACATCCATTCTATATTCATGTAAATTATATACATTGGTCTTTCATGTTAGACGCTGCATGTACATCATGGTCAGTGGTGATTTTACGGGGGCCGTTAGGTGGACCTCTCCCCCCATGGGATCGTGTAAAAATATAAAAGAAATAGGAAAATATAAATGTATGTAAATGTATGTAAATTGTAAGTATATACAAAATATTTTCGCTGCCCCTCCCCCCCCTGTGGCTGCTCAAGAACCACTCTTAATCATGGTAATTAATATTTATAAACTATATTAGGATACTCAAGATCCCTCACTTTTTTCTCGAGAAAACCACCCATGAAATGAAATGTAAACACAAATTGAAAAGGACTAAAAACTGATTAAGTAGTACACTCTTCAATTCTCATTTACACCACATTGCCATATAAACGAATAAATAATTATTATATTTGACGCTATGACTTCACTGAATAAAATGTAGCAAGTAGGAATGGTGATTCTCTGGACGCATTTTATTTAAGACTGTCGCGTAAACGATTTAAAACTACATAATATTACTTTTATATTATATTGCTATATACACACACACACTTACACTCAAACAATGTAATAATGTAATTTGTTGTTATATTATGAATATAGTAATACACTAAAACGTGAAATATAATTCTATAAGGGAGTTGCTGGAAACCCTTTCAGAAAAAACTAAAAATCCGTCTATACTTGTGTGATGTATAGTAATAATATTATTATATGCTGGCAAACGCGTTTCTCGCAATATTATAGTTCGATTATTAAGTTACTAGCTGCAGAGTGGGTTGGTATAAATATATCATATTCCTTTTGGACCCATCTATAAAGAGTATATAGTAATAGTTTGTGGACTTCGCACAAATATTATAACGAAAATAATAAGGGTATACATTGGATGTACAACAAATACGACAACGCACTATATCAGCACTTAATTTTAGTTAGTTCATATTATATTAAATAATATTATACGAAATAATAAGACATATATTGTTATTTGTTACCTCTTATATACATAGGTATTAGACGGTGTGATATGTATGGATTTAGTAAAAAATAGCCGAAGAAAAATATGTCCAGGAACAAATACTTAAATTCAAAAGAAAAATTTACATCGCTCTTTTCCAAATTTTTATAAAATATGTACCTAGTAGAATACAAAATTATTATATATAGGTAATTGTAATAAAATGAAAGTCGATATAAATAAAAAATAGATACACGTCTTGTATTACGTGCGTGAATTCAGCACCTTAACTGTCTGATCAACTTCGATCAACAACAATATTTTTTAGTTCTTTTTGTTAGCATTTTTAACTTAACATTATTACCAAAATAACATTTTNTTTTTTTTTTACTGATAGTTTTCTACCTACCATGTTATACAAACACGATGTAAAGTAGCACGGCCTTTATTCACGGACCTTTGAACTGCATTGTTAGCATTTTTAACTTAACATTATTACCAAAATAACATTTTTTTTTTTTTTTTGATAATGATAAGGACCATGTTTACCCCAAATTTGAAAATTTGTACAGTGAATCAAGTTCTGATCTACCTGACCGATTTGATAAATTGCGTTTCATACAACGTCAAAGATTATGGTTGATGTGTAAACGGTATTAAAAAAAATGTATAAATATACCCATTATTCAAATATAATGTTTTCGTTTTTGTTTGAACGTTTGATGAATTAAAATAAGTTTTAGCCATAGGTATAGGTTTATTAAAATCAAAWAATTTATAAATTAGTAAGCAGAGCTAGACGTTTGAAGGTCGAACTGTAAAATTTAAAATAATATAATTTTATCAAACACACGTTATTGATATTTGGATTTGTCATCTGGAATCATGATTGTAAACTTTATTATTACCCTGTTAGATAAACAAGTAACGAGTTTTTATATAAACTATAAGCCTCGTGATACAAATTAAAATAGCTGATAATAGTAGCGTTATACGTTTACGGTTTATCTTTGAAAAAAAAAAATTAATTTTTTTTCTAAAACGAATCAATTTTCCTAAGACTAATTCATTTTCACGAAATAAGCCTATTTTAATTTGTCCATTCTTTCCTCGGCCATTACCGCCGACTATAACGATGCGTATATAATATATTATCGTATATYGTATTACTCATAATTAGGGCAGAAGACTTGTAGCTTAGATTTTTTTTTAACACGAATGTTCATTCCGCAGAAGGCAGAACTGWCTGAGACTAAATACTAAAATATTGGTTATTGTCATGTTTAGAAACGTTTTATAAATAAATCCTAATCGAATAAAAGCCCAYATGGTGCGCACAAAGCTATGGTGGTGATGTCGTAGCCTTGTAGGTATAGTGTACGACGTTAGATCGTTATCGCTTCTACAAAAAATGCGTGCCCATGCACACTCAAAAACCATATTATACGACAAAAATTAAAAATAAATAAATATTTATCGAAACATTTTGACTGTAATGTTTGAAATAAAATTGTCACAGTGGAAAAATCGATTTAAGATAAATATGTCTCAAAAAGTATAAAAGTGTAAAATATGCCTTAAAAACCAAAAAAAACGCAATATATGCATATATGTATATATGCACAAAAAAWTTCAAAACTAGCTTTGTAAAAGCATGAAACGTATTTGTACCGTACTCTGCTATTCCCGTGACWGTGCAAAACAAATATGCAAATGCTGCAAGTCCTCTGCCCTACTCATAATAATATACTATGAATTTGGCACGTTGCGTAACGCGTACGCAGTATATAATATATAATCGTACATAGAATAATAGTACCTATATAGTATTATAGTCGCAATAATAAACGTGATGTRCCCGCGAGCGATAGATATACGCGACGGGACGCGCATCATTAGCCCCCAGACGGTAACTATGGATACGCCCGGGAAAGCCATAAGCTCGCGCGCACCGTCGGCGAAAAGGTTCGCATCGTGAAATGTGATGCGTGTGTATACGTGTGCGCGCGTAATGCGCGTTCACGCTCGCGCGCACGCGGTGGTGCCGTCGTCGGCGGGCGGGATGGAGAGACGCTGGTTGAAAAGTTTCCGCGCGCGCCACAAGTGTTCAGATATAGGACCGTCGCAACAGTTCGCGTGCCACCATCAGYGCATGTGTGGTCAGACGCCGCCGCTGTCGCTTACTGAAGGCCCTCACAATACGCTTAACCGCGTAGACGCGCTCGGCGTTATCTTTTGCCGTCGTCGTCGTCGTACTTGAGTACTTTGACCGTTACTTTTCGTCTTTACGAAAAATGCTCGTGTGAGTGTTGTTTATAAATAACAATATTGTAATATACCTAGTGAAAGCAACCGTTAAATGTTCACAAAAGCGCAGTAAAACGACTGCGTCACGTCCGCAATTATWATAATAATAATATTATTTATATCGCGTTGACAATAAAATATTTTAATATCACGTGCGTGCGAGATGTCAACTACCGACCGAGTGTTCGAACGGCGGATCGTGTCCAAGCGAAGGACGTCCGCTAACCTGGAGGATGAGCCGGAAAAGCAGTGTCCGAACGGTTGGGCCAGCGTCGTGGCGGCCGCCGCGGCAGCCGCGTCGTCTTCGTCGTCGACGTTACGGCAAAAGGCGGCCGCCTGCAAGAGCTCGCAGAGGAAGTCGTTCCAACCACATCCCGATTCCATTTGCGATTGGTTCTTTAAGGTGAGTGAAAAACGCATGATAAAGACTTTATTGTATCGCAGGTATTATTATTAKTCATAGAATAAGCCATAAGATCTTTTTAATGGACAGAAGTAAATATATACRCATTCACAGTCGTAAGCAAATATTATAATAATATAAAGGTACATGGTATTTAATTAAGTGCGTGTATTTGTAACGCGATATTATGACGTTATATTATATTATACAAGCTGCGACGGTTTGAACTAAGAAAGTAGGTATAGAGAGACGTGGGTTGCAGATTGCATATCAACCCGAAAAAGGATTTAAATTATTTTTAAAAACTAAGTGCTAACTATCATTACTTATATACGATTTAGTTTGACAACTATTTACTACTACAACTTATTTTTTTTGTAAAACAACTTTTTTTTTGTTTTCTAAAATGTATCATCGTGTAAATACAAATTTCTACATAAAGTTCATTTTATTTGGTACCTATGCAAATTTTGAAATTTCTGAAACATTTTAATGAATATTATATTTTAAATTAAATTAAAGTTAAAGTTTTGTTTTTAATAATTTATTTTTATAAATATTAATTAAAATAACTAAGTTATAAACTAAAAGGTTCTTTAATAAATTGACATGTTATAATCGGAACAAAGCAGGAGAAGCTAATAGCATTAGAATGATTTATCATTTTTATTGATTATAATGCTTTTGCGGGTAGTAAAAAAGTTTTAAAAGCTTCAGGCCACTTTTCTATGTAGATTGAAAACTGAGCACAGATGACACTTTTTAGTTTTTTAAAAAACTACATTAATACGGCAAGTTAAAGGTAAAACAAATATTCGTGCGTTTTTAATCAAAACTGAGTGATACAATTATTGAGATAACTGCAGATAGCTAACTTCATAATAGTTATTTATATGCAATTATTTATCATGGTTTTCAAATTTAAAAACAAGACCCTACATCAGTGGTTTTATTTTACATATTATCTTTAATTGCTACATAGTATTTAATTAATTTAAATAATTTAATATGCATAAGATATTACATAGCATTACATTTAACGTAGATATAATGAATACATTTTCATTATTTTTAAAATGTACGATAGTTGCAGGATTGGCGAGAACAGCACCTCAAACTCTGTTTAAAAAATTTTTCTATCAAATCTCTCTATTATTTTTCAATTTAGACGCTGTATAGTGTATACATATTATTTATAGACAGAAATAAATATATTGTATAGAAGAATATACGTACTAAACTTACGATTCCCATTATTTCTAATACTGCAATATATCATTTATTATTAAGGCGTGTAAATAAACATGGGAATATTGGCATAGCTGCAGTGTTGCAATAGAATAGTTTCTTAGTTACTTGAATGTATTTTTTCTGCATATTCGAGGCACAATCTATATATTTCTCCACACATCGAGTATAAAATGTCCACCCCAATGTCCACTGGATAACATAGAATTTCCATCTCATTTTTTAAATATTCCCTTGATAATCTAGAATCTAGATGACATATCAAGATCGTATCTTTTATTCACCACGGATATCGGGGTATAACGGTAATCCCTATRAAATACGCTCTATTGAATATGTTAAGAAAAGCTTCATTTAACCATATTACCTATACACCATATAGGTATAACCTATATAATAAATAACGATAGATATACCTATATTATGTGTATTATTTATGATACCTAATAATCCAGTAGGAAAATTGAAAGTTAATTTTTATTCGACCTCTATAATAATAATTCTTTAAACAAACTGTTTTCGCGTCGTTTTTTTAACATATAACAACTATAGAATAGCATAACATACAACTCCATAGTCCATATGTCTACCAATAACAAGGCACATACCTAATAAGCATAACATACAAAAATCAAATCAAAAATTGAGTTTATTGGATTGTTATTTTTATAAAACTTGTGATAATAAATTATTAATTTATGCAAACTTTTTTTTTGGATTTTATACTAATAATATCAAAATACAAAGTGCCGCCACCCGCAGGTGTTGTTTTCCATTTTGTTATTTATAATTTATAACTGCAAAGTACACGACAAACTATACAAGTCTATAATATCCTTTTGTGTTCTGCCTAATTGACATGTTTTAAAATTTATACATACATAATAAGTGAAATATTATGAAAACTATACATTTCTTAATAACAATAAATTAACGAGGTATGATGAACTATTAGCATATTTAATAACTTAGAAACCTTACCTATACATAATTATAATTCTATGTTATTATATTTTTTTTATTATTATAATGAGATTTCAATAGCAATTATTGTTTATCAATTACTATTTGGAGAAAAATGAAATAAAATAATAATAATAACAGAAATCAGCAKACCATGTAATATGTAAAGCTCAACGCTCATAAATAATAATGTTAAACTTTTAAACCAATCTTAATAAATTCTACTTATTATTAGCCTTATTAGGTAGGTACTCTACTAGTATTATACCTGTATGTGACTTTAGTATTAAAAAATATTTCAATCAAATGTAAAAAGATTTAGATAATTATCAATATCAAAATAAGGTATTCATGATTATTCATTCTATGTTCTCGAAATTCAAAATAATGTATTATTATGATATGGTATATCCGATTATTGTTGTTCATATCTACACAAAATATACGTTCTTATCATTGCAGAAATATCGATCAATTGTTATTTGTTTAACAAACAATAACTAAAGAGAAGTTATTCAAAATGTTTAATATTACAGACGTTTCGATTTCATTCATTGATATAATATAGTTTTGTCTGTAACAATGTAACATTATCATTGACTGTAAACACACTCTATTRTTCTATGCTATAGGTGAATAAATTTATAAAGGAACTTTATTCTACAGACATGATGCCAAATAATTTCGACGTTGAATGAACGATATTATAACTTATGATAACTTGGAAATGAGATATTAAATTTATCTTAAATGATATCGAAATATGTAGATTAGCCATCAGGCATCTTGAAACATCGAAAAATAATAGGTGCCTTTATATATTAAATTTTGAAGAATATAGTGTCCATTATCTAATATTATACAATATTGCGGATTTAAGTACCTTTAAACGTCTTCATGTATGTAGAATATCAAGTATGGAGTAAAATAATACTTTATTATTATTTATTATAATTATTATAAGTATATACTTTATTATATAAATATATAATAAACCATAAAATAGTTATAACTTTAACCCTGCTATCAACACATTATAATAAATTGCGATGTACCAAAATACTAAGTTGTATTCTACATTAAATATACCTTTACGTACAGATTAACTACTTATGCCTTTCTTCACTTTCCATGAATCATAGAGCCGTGTTCTGCTCTTCATAAAATAATATGATTTTTATTAATTTATTTAGTATTTAACTGCTGAAATATTTGGTTTTTAGGTGATGGTACTTGGCGATTCCGGAGTTGGGAAGACTTGCCTGTTGGTCCGTTTCAGGGACGATATGTTCTTGGGTGGAAATTATATTTCTACTGTTGGTGTAGATTTCAGGGTGAGAACTACGATCGGTTTGAGATCTTGTTAAATCATTGATCGTCTCGCATATAAATGGATACAAAGATTATAATATAAATGCTATAGACGATATAAATAATACTATTGTTTTATAGAAGAGCATTATGAATATATTATGATCACTATTAAATTATCATAATAGCAATGTGTACATGACCCAAAAACTGTAACCAACCCGTATATAATAACATAATGTTATTAACATTAAATTATTATACAACATGCACGTATGATAAGATAATGTAGACGCCGCGTCAAATAGGTAGACGGTGTTATTTAGACAGTTGCGGTGAACATGTGGTAACTCATTTATAGTTACAGGTACCCTATATAAAATTGACGTATCTTATATTAATATTATTATTTTCTAAAATATGAATAACCAGGAGAAGCACCTGTGCCTTGATTATTTATCGCGATTTTAAGATCATTATATTATATACTGCAATACACGAGACCAAGTCAAATAATAACAGTTGGATAACGTAGCTGATATGTGTTTAAATATTTTTAATGACTAATGATATAAAAAATTTTTTTGTATGCATTAAATGTTTTTTTTTTATTTGAACATGTGGTCCGTACTTTTACTTTAAAATAAAATCAACAATTATCTGTTTCAGAATAAAATTATATCTGTGGACGACTCCAAAGTTAAACTACAGATTTGGGACACTGCAGGTCAAGAACGATTTAGGAGTGTAACACATGCATATTATAGAGATGCTCATGGTAAGTAATCACATCGATGTAAACTAAATTATTCATAAATAAAAAACTGATATATTATACTCTTTACGTTAAGATCACATCATAATATATCCTATGCGATTTCTAACTCCGTCTTACTAACGCATAATATATACAATGTTTGTCCAGTAGTTCCAACTTTGTGTTGTTAAGTTGAATATTATAGAGAATAATAGATTTACTTATTATAGAATATAAACCTAAGAACATTATTTGTGTCAACTTGTTGGTTTCTTACGACATTATATAATTTTAAGCATGTTATGGGTTATGCAAATATTAAAATGTATAAATGATCATAACTCGCTTAAAAATATAAATATTACAAAAAACCAACAAAAGAGCTGATGTTCGTACCTCTATATGTTCTAGTTTAGTTTACTCAAGTATTAAAACCAACAACGTAATATTGAAACTGATGAAATTTTCCGCGTTGCAGTGGCGGACTGGGAGAAAAACACAGCCCGGGAAAATCATAATTGTAGAGGCCCTCAATATACTAACGGCCTTTTAAATATATAATATATTTTTTATACGTCATGTTGATGCCTATATACCTAATAACTATTTTAGATTCTGAGTGGAGCAATGAATGTATAGTTTTTACAATGATGTGTGTTTTTTTAATTTTTTTTTTGTGTCATCACCTTTTAGGACAGTAAAAATGCTTAGATTTTTTTCAACATTATCTTTTCTAATAGAAAAGTAGTGAATCTAGCTAGTTGGTAGTTTTCCCAGTAGTTTTCAAAAGTAAAAATTATTTTTATTTTTTGATCAAACTCTAAAACAAATGACCGTATCTACATGCAATTTCGACTGAATGTTTATATTAGCTTTTTTTATACACCATAACTTTTCAAAATATTTTGACTTGTTTTGAACTGTTTACGGCAATTTAAAAATTTCATGTATTTTAATTTTTTTTCTATAAATATCAATAAAATTGTATTTGTTGTCCCAAAGTGAGTGATAAGGTAATGAAAGGCTCCTCATATATTGTTACTATAGCGATTGAAAAATATTAAAAATGCATAGGCAYAAATTTTTTTTATAATCATTTAAAGTTTGAACTTTGACAAAATTTATTAAAATCTTGAAAATTATCAATCATTGTAATTAAAAAATTATGAAATGTTCAGTTTCATACTAAGGATCGAAAATTTAAAATATAGATTTTCATAAATTGTTCATATTATGACCAACAAATCTAAAAAAATATATAAACAGCTATTTCTTACAGACATTTTAAATTCAAATTGTGAATTTTTATTTCTTTATTTTAAATAATATTAAATTTTTTAATTACATCTAGATTAGTATTCTTGCTCTACGATAAGAGGTATTACCTCAGTGTATAGAGCAAAGCTAGTAAATCCATATGTTAACCATACACTTTGTCCACATTTATCAACTACTAGCAATAAATAAATTTTTTATTATTAAAATAAAATTTGGACGAAGTTACATATTAAATCCAATAATATCGATTTTGGTTATTTTGTTGTAATTTAAAAATAAATATTATTCTTGGATATAAGAAACTTTTAAGAATATATTGACATATTGTTGTATTTTATACACAAAGACATTTTGAAATGTATTTTTTGGGGGGGAAATGAATTTAACCTACTGTAGAAGATACTAATGCCTAATACTAAAATTAATTACTTTAATCACAATAATATTATATAAAATATGCTTATTGCCTACCTATAGTAATATTATAGACATACCGTCTCAAAATCTCGTTTTTCGTACACAATAATATTATATCATTGAATTCAAATTTAATACCATTCATTACTGTGACCTACTATTGTAAGCCTACTGTAAGCCTGGTCTGGCCGAACACAAGCCAGTCCCGCATTTTAAAATACCTATTCAGAAATCTAGGTTTTTATGTTTAATAATATTTTATATTACATACTTATTACTTATTAGATAATATTTTAATTTATTATAATATTAATAAATATATATTTTATACCAGCAGCGGCYCACCGAGAAATTTCCCGGTATCCCGGTCGTCCAGTCCGCCACTGCGTTACCCATTTGTAAGACAGACATTAGACAATATACTCGTATGTGGGTGTAAGGTCACCTTAAATAAGGCAAATTCATTGGATAGTGGTAATATAGGCTTATAGAATGTGTATTGAATAATTATAATTTTATATTTAACTGGCATGACAAAATATCATCTACTGTCTACAAATATTATACCTAATGTAAAAATTAGATGACAAATAGAGTAGTAATGAATGATATATTTTACATGCTATTAGTTCTAAATAAAAATAAATCATAGCTTGACTCTTAAAAATTATAATATACCTAAATAAATGAAAAATATGTAGATATATTTAAAAATTACTGGAATAACTAGTGTATTAATTACTGGAAAAATTCTAAGCTACATTTTTTTTATGATTATTACTTTATATTAATATAAGATAATTATTATTTATTAGAAATAAATACATACTTACGTAGTTACGTAATATCTCGAAAATAGGAATATATAATAATAATTTATTATGATCAAAAATACAATWTCATATAAGGGTTTTAAATTTATGGAACCAATATAACTATTATTACTTATATGTGGTATAAAATATTGATGTTTATTTAGTATACCGCACAATACAATATAACGTATTGATTTAGCTAAAAAACATCATCCATAATATGACTTACACTGTGTAAACTGTGTAACTATATATAGTGTAATATATCCTTTACATTTCATAGTTTTATTAAATTTCAAATATTACCTTTTGAAAAATTATTATGAATTAGGTTTTTATATGATAATAATTTATATTTTAAATTCCAATTTAATTAGGTATTATTTATGTTTATTTATTATTTAATTTATCAATTATCATTAAATGTATGATTATATTATAATTATATTTCTAAAATATAATTAACTATTATCAATGTAAGTTTTTAAATCGAATTTGTTTAAGACAATGTGTACTTACCTATTTCATAAGTACGCATGTGTTTACTACATATATTCTTAAATACTTTCACTTTAAAGTAGATACTTATTCTAAACTATAATAAATAATAATACTTAATAATAATATTTCTCATTATTTACTGCTTTATTTTAATTCGAGAAACATACTGCTTGTATATATTGTATAATGTGTACGGTAGATAATTTATTATCTAATTTTCGTTTGTATTACAGCACTTTTACTTTTGTACGATGTAACTAACAAAGTAAGTTTTGACAACATACGAGCGTGGTTGAGCGAAATTCGAGATTATGCTAATGATCAAGTAGTMATAATGTTAATAGGTAGGTATATAAATTATATCTCCTAAACACTATTTATAGGTACCTGATTTACATTGTACTTATGTTTGATCAAATGGTTAATTATATTTAGGAAATAAAGCGGATTGCAATCCAAACGATAGAATGGTGAAAAGAGAAGACGGAGAACAATTGGCCAAGGAATATTCAGTCACATTTATGGAAACATCTGCTAAATCTGGTTTTAATGTCGAAATTGCTTTTATGGCTGTTGCAAGGTATCTATAACATAATTATTTATTATTGTTTATTATGTATAAACACAAAAAAGTATGTAACTTAGAAGAACTAGACAATGTATTACATGAATAATTATGATAATTTATCATATACCCAGAATCCAGATACCTTTATTTATATTATAATATGTATATTACGTTTAAAATTTTAGGGAGTTATTATTCAAAAAAACAGGGATAGAAAAAAAAGGATCTTTTAATGTACAAGATTATGTAAAAGAACAAACAAAATCCAATTGCCCATCATGCTCTACAGCATAATACATTTTATGGTGAAGTATAAAGGTTAAAATTACTCAATGTAATCAATAAAATAATTCCAAAATAAAAATATGAATGAGTCAAAATGGAACAATTTTAATTAAATTACCTGTGTATTCATGTAATATAATTTTAAGCTTGAGCATTCTTTGTTAAGAATGGTATGTATATGCATATACGGATTTATATTACAAATTTTATAAATACAATTAAATTATTGAAATGCTTGTTTCATTGTTGAACATGCAATATATTTATTAGAAAGCAATGAAACCATACTTTTTGTTTTTCTGTGTTGGCGTTTGTTTATTGAATAAAATTATTCTGTTCAAATAATTTGTCAAACACTCGATATCATGATTATATACCGTATAACGTCCGCACCAAATTGTAATTGTAGTTCATATAATTACTTAAAATTGTCTGTGTTCAAACTCCAAACTAAACCCATTAATTTACGGAAATTACGAATATTGCACATTTAGTAGAATGTAAACGCTTGCTAGTCCCTACAGGTCCTAATCCTTGGTATCTAGACATTAATATTATTGTATAATACATCAACGTTACATAGCCGTATAATGTTATTAAAACGTGAAGTCAACACAGGGAACAAAAAAATATGATTTCCACCAATTGAAAATTAGTGCTGATATAATGTTACTTCAGGTATTGTATTCATTATAATATTACACCTGACATATTTAAGTATTAACTATGGTATAGGTACTGAAATTTTAATAAAGTTAAAGTTCCCAAAATGTAGATAAAAATGGTACCTATATTATTTTCGTAATTAAAAATAACTGTGTTTATAACTATAATTAACTATAAATTACGGTCATGCTGATTCTATGACTTAACTACGTTTAAYAGACTGATTCATTATTAATCTGTATTCAAATATGAAAATAAAAATATCAGTTTAATGATTAAAAAGTTAATCTGTAGGACTGTAGCCTATAGCTTGAATCTATTTAATACGCTTATTTTTAGTATTATAAACTATAATTGTTAATATTTACGTAACAATCTACTACTCGTATTATACAAAAATTGATCTAGACGTTTATTTGTATGTTTGGGTAATACTTACAATAACAATAAAATTAATTTAACAATAATTTGTAAAAATATTATTATTATATTACTTATACATATTAATATGTTATAAAACAATAGAACTTAAATATTCAGCAATCACGGAGTTTGTTATTTAGATTTTAGAACAATAAATGATAATAATTATCAACTTATCAGGTATAAAGTATAAACAACCAAGTATTTGCTCAATATTGTTTTCAATAAAAAGTTTTAAATAGCATTTAAAATTTCAATGTATTTCAATAAATACAATGGACTCTCAGAGTATAAACCCAACATTATTAACAACAACTCAATTTTTTTCTACCCCTTTTAAATTTAAGGTTGGAAAACTGAGAGTCCATTATCTGTGTTCATTTGTAGTTTTAATTTCTGTAAAACTTTTACAATATTGATCAGCATACAATAAACAAATGTATACGTCGTTTTAAAAATCTAACCTGTCATCGCGACTATCTACCATATTGTTTTAAATATCACGACTACCCTGCGTATATTTTATAATTTTAATTTATGATTTCATATTGGCTTATCTATAATTTATAAAACCAAAATACTAATAACAAAAGATTCATAACTAGTTTAAACATTGGTAATCAATATTAAAAATATTTAATTTGTCTAACCTCTTTTCAAGTACCTACATTTTAAATGATATATGATTCTCTTTTTCGATATTAATATTTTTATGTATCATCAGTCAATGTTCTTTTGGAACAGTTAAAATGTTTCAATCTTCAACTTAAATAATGAATTTTGGTGGAAAATTCTATCTAGTATTAATATTCTAAAATGTCAAAAGTTTAATTCCTAGTACTTTTAAAAATAATCGGAGAAAAATACGAGTAGTAATACTGCTATACTGCTATTTTCAATCAAAACTAGTTTTTGACAAATTGATTTAAAAGTTAATAAATATAGCTACTTGAATTTTATACTTAAAACTTTAAAAGTTATCTTAACATTTTCTAGACATRATGTAATTTTCAAAATATTTCACTCTTTTCGTGCTATAGCTATATGTATTTTAATTTTCATTAATAAATTAATGTATGATATAATTTATTTGTAAGTAAAAAATAGCTTGAAATTTTTAAAACAATGAGCATCATAAGTATCTCTGATCAAAATTAAGAAATCTACAATCACAGATTGTTTTTAATCGTTTGAAGTTTCAATTTTAAAAAATTCAAAATTATTAAATTATTTGTTTACTAAAAATTTGAATATTTTTTTTTAACTGCTAAAGCTTTTTAGAACAACCTAAAAATATCAAAAATACATATTATACTCTTACGGTTTCCGCTCTAAATCGTTTTTCGTACACGATGATTTATCATCGAATTCAAATTTAACCCAATATATTCTATTAGGCGTAGAGTATTAAAAAAAAATACATTTTTAAAATAATTTTTATGGCGCAAGATTTAATCAATGATTACTATACAGTAGAGTGACTTCTCTTTTTATTTATTTTAATACAATAATTGTGACTTGTGTTGGCCATGAGTAGGAGTAGTCCGTATACTCTTTGGAGTACCTATTACGAATAATGTGGTAGATAGTTGCACCAACAGGTTTAAAAACTGTAGGTACCTAACCCAATACAACTAAAATTATTTCAACTAAAAAATACGGAAATTTAATATCATAATTAACTAGTAAGTTTAATATGTTTTAAAATCATACACTCGATTTTAATTTCTAACTGTCGTTCTTATTGAATTGTATTTATTTTTCGATTATTCATTAGATGTACCTAGTTCAACATGACCCTTATTAGTTAATTAMATTAAGCTACAAAATTCTATTATTATACGCTTGTAGATTTTATATTAAAAGCTATAGTAATAATATGAACAACCGAAAYGATTTAGCAATTATATTTGCAGCCTAAAGGTATGCTAAAACATTGATGCATTAGCAAATAAATAAACTTATTCTAAAATATATAACTAATTACTGTATTTATAATATTACAGGTATAGGCTATAGCTATATGATTATTTAAAACAAAAATAAAGTATAGTTTATATAATATTATGCCTGTATTTGGTTGTTTTATTACTTATAAGTTTAATCTATAGATTTTCAAAAACAATAAACTGGTACATGAAGAATTGAAATTGAGTTTCTACTTTCTACTCATGACGAATACAAAGCTGTCTTATTTGTTATGTATATTATATACCTTTTTTCATTTCATTCATCATACGATACATAATTGCTGAGATGAATCTATAACACTAAATTTGGTTAATTATTATTTTATTATAGTAGACCTACAGAAATATGAATATAATTTATGTTAAATAGTTGGTTATTTCTAAAATATTTTATAGAAAACTTATAAAGGTATTTATTGGTACTAACCACGTAAAATTTTAAATAAATTCATTAAACCAAGTTATTATAATCGTGCCAGAAGGCAGGAACAATTATTATTTACCGACTACAATATTATAATATTAAAATATGTAGAATTAGTTATTAAGACATCTTTAATCATTAATGTGTAACTAATTTAAATAGTATTTATATTTGTATGGATGCTAGTGATGCCACATATTATATAGGAATTATTGTAATGTTATAACTTTTATTATTATAATAAAATATTGTTATTGTTTTTAATTTAATGTTGTATAATATACATTTATATTTTTTTTTATCAAAACCAAAATATTTAATGAATTAGTATATATTGATTTTTATAATATTACCATTAACTAATATCATTTTTGTTTTAAAAAATGAGTGAATTATTAAATATATTTAAAAATTACATATAAAAATAAATTAAATATACTGCCATTGTACTGTTGTACATTCATGGTTTTTATACCGTTTGTTTATTTTTTGTTGACATATTAGACATTTAGGTATTTATCAAGATATTAATATATAACACCAACGTCCACTTCTCTATTATAGTRCTTGGGTCCCAACATCTATTAAATATCGTTTGACTATATTTATTTTTTATTTTTTCTATTGATCTTGTAATTATTAATAATTTCTGCTTCGACTGCTTTCTGTTTCGTCTAAAAATGCACAAGTGCTGTAGCATTTGTTTTCAAGAGAGGTAGAGATTACATCAATTACTTTATGGACCGGGTAAACGGCGCTGTGTTTGGCTCTAAAGCCAAATTGTGAGGACAATAGTACATTTTTTTGATATTATGTGTGGGTAAATACCTACATTTGAGAGTGAGCCTTTCACAGATTTTTGAGAAGTATGCCAATAGACGACTTATAGGTCTATAGGATGTTCCAAAGATTGAGGAAGTATGAAAGTCTCAAAATAGCATTGTAGATATAAGTAATCAGTATTATGAAGGCTTTTTTTTTATTTGTTAACCCACGGCAACATAAGCTATTGGGGGTGTGGGTGGTATTGTACGTTTTTTAACGGTGATGAAGAGAACACGTGAGTGTTGGGCTTGGAATACTTCTGCTTTTTCGGCATCTGAAACGGCAAGCGAGTTGTCAGCATAACTATTCAATCATGAATTAAATATTGATAGTATTCCTGTGTTGACTATTGCATACGGCGATAAAACAATGAAATATAAATATGTAATAATTTGTGATTTATGTGATTGGGTATAAATGTATAATAAAAACTGAAATCAAATTTATTTTATAAAATATTAAGCCATCATGTGCTTAAAATTATTTATCAGGCGCCGATAGCATGCATCCATACTTGCATTTGTTTGGAATAAACTGGTTTTCGATCTTGCTGAGAATTGGCAACTCCAGGCTCGAGGCCACACAACGTACTTATCGACATTACTGAAATCTATACGCCACGCCGTCTCAAAAAAATTATATCCAATATAGTATTTAGGTAGGACCATGTCCAAACTCAACGTTTTTAACGAATTGGTGAGAATGAATTAAATCGTTAGTAYTTATTRAAATTAATTATTGATGTATACACCTATTGCATAAAATCTATTCAGTGATGAGTTTTTATTACTTTTTAAATGTAGGTATTATAGTTTACACTTTACACTAAAATACATCAAAAATACTCATTAATTATTTTAGTCGTTGCTTGCATTGAAAAAAAGTACTCAATTCAGTTATTTAAATTACTCTTTCATTCAATCAATTAATACAATATAATTACGTTAGTGTTATTGATAAAAATTAAAAAGTAATGCGTTAAATAGACACTGAACAAATCACCCTAAATAATTTATTTCATTGAATTTACGGAATTTTACTGAATTTAGCAAAAATGTAAGCTTTATTTTTTAAATTCTTTAGTTTTTTTTTTTTTTTTGTATAAACGGTGATTAAAAATATTTTGTCTATCAGAATTAAAAATCTTGAAAGTACAATAATGTCCAATTGATGTAGTTATTCTTATAATTTTATAGCAATCCAAAAATATCTCCGAAAAATGAAAATGCTAGATGGGTACAATTTTTTTTATATTGGAGATTAAAATGTTTCCAAAACTGCATATTTCAAAACGATTATATCTATACAGTGAAATCTCTAAATACCGGACACTCTCGGTCGCTTAAATGTCGTCCGCTATTTGGAGGTGTCCGTTAAAGAAGGTTTCACTGTATTATTGTAGTTCAAAAAATATTAATAAATGTATACAATATAGATACGAGGTACATTATAACAGTACATATCAAATATGTAAATTATTACTTATTTGTTATATAAACTTACAAATGGTTCATTTCTTTCCTCAGATTCGTTTTTCATATACAATAATTTATAATTTAATGCAAATTTAACTCATTCATTATAGTGACTCAGTGGTGTAAACTGTAAATGACCAATTTTGAATTTGCTTATGGAAAGGACATATTTTTAGTAATATCTGTACATATAAAATATCTGCTCATACCGCCTTCAAAAAAAACGGGCGCATGTAAACTCCACTCGACCTTTTTAGACCATTCTTCATGTAAATTCAATCGGTACGTTTATTTGA